ATTATATTTTGAACGACATACTATACTATGACTTTTTCATTAAATTTTGAACGTCATACTATACTATGACTTTTTTATATTTTGAACGACATGCTATACTATGACTTTTTCATTAAATTTTGAATGACATGCTATACTATGACTTTTTATGATATTTTGAACGACATGCTATAATATGACTTTTTCATTAAATTTTGAACTTCATACAATACTATGACTTTTTTATATTTTGAACGACATACTATACTGACTTTTTTATTAAATTTTGAACGACATGCTATACTATGACTTTTTCATTAAATTTTGAACGTCATACAATACTGACTTTTTTATATTTTGAACGACATACTATACTATGACTTTTTCATTAAATTTTGAACGACATGCTATGACTTTTTATGATATTTTCAACGACATGCTATACTATGACTTTTTCATTAAATTTTGAACGACATGCTATACTATGACTTTTTATGATATTTTGAACGACATGCTATACTATGACTTTTTCATTAAATTTTGAACGTCATACTATGCTGACTTTTTTATATTTTGGACGACATGCTATACTATGACTTTTTTCATGCAATTTCGAACTACACACTATAGTATGACTTTTTTCATGCAATTTTGAACGACATGCTATACTATGACTGTATTAAATTTTGAACAACATGCTATACTATGACTTCTTTTAATGAAATTTTGAAGGACATGTTATACTGACTTTTTTTTATAACATTTTGAACGACATGCTATACTATGACTTTTTCATGAAATTTTGAACAACATATTGTACTATGACTTTTTCATGCTATTTTGCATGACTTGTTTTATTATTACTTTTTTCTGGTATTTTGAAGGCCATAGTATACTGTGACTTTTGTCATGCTTTCTTTTTTTTTAAAAAAAAAAAAAAAGACATACTATACTTGAATTTTTTGATGGCATTTTCAACGATATATTGTACTGTGCCTTTTTATGGCATTTGTGACAACATAATATGACTTTTTTATGCCATTTTTAATAACAGTATTCTATGACCTTTTCATGGCAGTTTTTATAACATAGATTGCTCAACTTGCAGCAATAAGGGACAGTGCATCGATGAAATCAGACCAATTTAATGGAAAAAAAAGACAATGTAGAAAAAAACATGTACACACAGCATGCTGGACACTCCAGCTATCAGGTTGTCCAACAAAATAAAATAAGAGATGGGGATGATTGCTTTTGCTTATCTATGTAACTTGATAAATTGAGGAAATCTGGCAATGTGCACATACAGAAAATCTCAGGAGTTCTACTCTCTACTTATTGTATTTGGTTTAATTAAAAAAAAAAAAGTATTTGCAATTTTTTTTTGTCCGAGCCTGGTAAGGCTGATATGTTTTGGATTTGAAAATGCTTGGCTTTGGTGACCCCTAGTAGTAACATCAAAAGGGGCACAGCAAAGCTCTTAAATTTATCATGGGGTTTTTAGAATAATTTAGAGGCACAAAGTTTGGACATCAACTAAAAAAAAAAAAACTTACCTTATTTTATTTTGTGATACCAACTTGTTTAACATTGTCGTGGTTTAATATGGTGACTCTTTACACAGATAGTATTACATGTTTAACTAAAATAGAAGTGGATGATTGTTTGCAAATACTAGTTTCTTCATGTTTTTTTTCCAGCTCTGTCTCTAACCTTCAACCCTGCCATCTCCACTCTGGTCCCAAATTTGACAACTTCTGTTATTTACAAAAAATCAGGAATAAGAAAAACTGACAGGTTAGACAGGATTCATCTTGGATCACGTTAACAAAGTGCCATTTCGATTTAGGGCTGGGCAATATATCGAATTTATATCAATATTCTGATATGAGACTGGATGTCATCTTAGATTTTGGATGTTGTAATATTGTCTTTACCTGATTTTAAAGGCTGTATTTCAGTAAAGTGATGTAATTTTCCGAACTCACCACCGTTGTATTATTTGCCTTTAATCACTTCGCAATAATATCCACATTACTGATGATTATTCATCAAGAATGTCATTGTGTAAAAATTTTGTGAAAGCACCGAAAGTCAACCCTACAATATCGTTGCAATTCAATACTGAGGCATTTGGTCGGGAATATAGTGATATTTGATTTTCTCCATATTGCCCAGCCCCATTTCCGTTGTTCTTTTTCATAAAGGAGAGCTTCAGATTGTTTCAGATCTGTCTTAAACATTACTAACATGGCGTATGTACATTGAAAGAGTCACTAATCATTCCTCCTGTCCACAAAGGCTACAAAGATCCCCTCCTGGCTCAACTCTGATGTAAGAGATGTGGGGACAAAATCCACAGTTCTTGTTCTGTGTAAAAAAAAAAAAAAAGCATGTAAATGTTCAGCTGAGGCTAATGAGGCTTTAGCACTATGAGTAAAGGCCTCTGCACACTAAGTCCATTTTTTTCAGATGCATTTTTTTAATCCGTCACCTGAAAAAAACAAACAAACATAAAAAAACATTATCATCAGAGACCTTGCACACCGATCCCGATGCGTTTTATTTTTCTGTTCGGTGCACAAATTTTAATGACAGACGAAAGTGTGCAAACGTGCTGGACACAACGTGAGGTCGTATTTATTTTTAGACGTGTGACAATTTTGGACGAAAAAACGGTATTTTCAGAAGTTAGAATAATTTTTTAGTACGACATACCCTCTGTGTTACCTTCTTCTGCACAGATTAGCATGGATACGCTGATCGATGCAACACAGAAGGAATTTTGTACTTAACTTTGGAAAATAACTGCTGTTGAAGCCTTGTGTTAGCTTTGGCTGCACTTCTGGAACGCATTCTTACACATACGAACTTTGGAGTTTGTCAATCAATCTCATGAAGTGGAACCAAGTTGGGGGGGGGATCCAGTAGGAGAAATGATTATAGAGATCAGTAACATGATTGCAGAGACTTTCAGTACACATGGGGGCAAGTATTGTACTAAGACATACCTGGAAAAACAACAACAACCTTTCTTTACCCTCGTTTTCTGCACCTGCATGGTCAAAAGTGGGAACGGGCAATAAGAGTACACTGATCCCAAATTCAAGCTACAGTCTCTCCAATGGTCCCCATCATGAACCAAGATAAGCGTCCACCTTGTCTTTAGGTCTGAAGCGTGTCTGAATCAAAAATATACTGCTGTTACAGAGTCAAATATTCAAGTCCACGCACATCCAGCTCTTCTGTTTCGTCTCCATCAGTCACATCGACCTCAACATTTAGGTCCAAGTGAATCTGAGACAGTTCTGTGGTCAGTCTCCTCCAAGAAATGTCCACAAAGCAGTCCTCTCTTTTGGGTCCAAGATTAAATCCTCGTCAGAGTTAGGCAGGGCAGTCTTTACTTCACAACAGCCGGGGTGAGGATTCTGGATCCAGTAGTCATTCCATACCATACTGGAGTTTTCGGTGAAGGGACTAAATCCTTCAGGACAGCAGCTAAAACCCAAACACAGTGTCTTTTGCTGTTTTAGCGTCATGACTTGAACACACGAGTACAGCAGTCTGTTTCGGCTCTGATACGCAGTTAGTCAGGCATGTCGATGCAGAGTTTAGGCGGCGGGACAAAGTACTTCCCAGGGCTCTGTGTGATCACCACGCCGGTCTTCTTGTGGAACATGGGCGCGATCTTTGGCGGCGGCTCAGGGACAGGCAGATCCTCGACCGCCTCTGGGTCCTCGCTGCGCTGGAGGTCGTAGGACACGTTGCCGTACTCTCGCAGGAAGGGGAGGAGCTCCAGAAGGAAGTGGCAGAAGTCTTTACGGATGCCAAACCACCCTATGGGAAAGTCAGGACAGAGGAGAAATTAACAGCACAGACCTGAAACAACATGGGGACCAAAAATGGGGACTGTATGGAACCGTTACATTGAATGGTACCAATGAAACTGTTCTGTACCGTCCACAACTGTTCACAACTGTTAACTATTATTTTCTGACAATAAAGCAAACTCAAATACAATATATGTGACAATAAAACTTCACTTTCATGGTTCCAGGATGTGAGGATTTGTGAGGCTGTAGTTTATCGCAATTAGTTCTAGGACAATACATCGTCCAACAAAAGTAGATATCGTGACAAGCTTGACTGTAAAGTTTTACAAAAATCTAAACAAAGGGAAAGTTGTTAAATATATTCACTATCACTCCTGTAAACAGACGTACACCCAGCAAAGACATGCAGCAAACCACAGCACATTAGTGTCTTTAAATACTCACAGTGGTTTCCCCCCTTCTGGCCAAACGTGGTGGCCATGAGTGTGAGGAGGGAGAGCCACAGAGGGACGAACACACACACGTAGCTCAGACTGTTGTGGCCGTCCAGCTTGTGCACCAGAAGGATCTGCAGAGACACGAGAACATTGTGAGACTTAAATATAGCAGCATATGTGTGCAATGTTGTGTATACACAGTCAGCGTACACACACGCAGGTAAGTGTTAAATGAGAGTTTTATAGTAGTACTATCAACAAAATACAATATAATCAAACGACGCAGTGGGATAGGTATCGACAGATTTATGTTTACAGTTTTGTGGTGATTAATTAACTTTCACTCAGCACCCTTAAATAAACTGAACATGTTGTCTTTGGTTGAGCCTTACGGTATTCAGAATTCCCAAAACATCCTGTTTGATGTTTTAAAGAACGTACATACTCTGGAGGGCAGGACAGGCTAATTTTATTATTAAAACAGTTTGTTTTAGATACAACTTTTCTATTTACAACCACAATTCCGAAAAATTTGGGATGCTGTGTGAATTCAATTCATTACAGTCCAAAGACTATTTAATGTTTAAACTGATAAACTTAATTATTTTTTGTCAATACACACTCGTTCTGATTTTGAAGACTACGACATGTTACAAAAAAGTTGTGACAGGAGCAAGAAAATACTGTATACAGTACAGGCCAAAAATTTGGACACACCTTCTCATTCAATGCGTTTTCTTTATTTTCATGACTATTTACATTGTAGATTCTCACTGAAGGCATCAAAACTATGAATGAACACATGTGGAGTTATGTACTTAACAAAAAAAGGTGAAATAACTGAAAACATGTTTTATATTCTAGTTTCTTCAAAATAGCCACCCTTTGCTCTGATTACTGCTTTGCACACTCTTGGCATTCTCTCCATGAGCTTCAAGAGGTAGTCACCTGAAATGGTTTTCCAACAGTCTTGAAGGAGTTCCCAGAGGTGTTTAGCGCTTGTTGGCCCCTTTGCCTTCACTCTGCAGTCCAGCTCACCCCAAACCATCTCGATTGGGTTCAGGTCCGGTGACTGTGGAGGCCAGGTCATCTGCCGCAGCACTCCATCACTCTCCTTCTTGGTCAAATAGCCCCTACACAGCCTGGAGGTGTGTTTGGGGTCATTGTCCTGTTGAAAAATAAATGATCGTCCAACTAAACGCAAACCGGATAGGATGGCATGTCGCTGCAGGATGCTGTGGTAGCCATGCTGGTTCAGTGTGCCTTCAATTTTGAATAAATCCCCAACAGTGTCACCAGCAAAACACCCCCACACCATCACACCTCCTCCTCCATGCTTCACAGTGGGAACCAGGCATGTGGAATCCATCTGTTCACCTTTTCTGCGTCTCACAAAGACACGGCGGTTGGAACCAAAGATCTCAAATTTGGACTCATCAGACCAAAGCACAGATTTCCACTGGTCTAATGTCCATTCCTTGTGTTTCTTGGCCCAAACAAATCTCTTCTGCTTGTTGCCTCTCCTTAGCAGTGGTTTCCTAGCAGCTATTTGACCATGAAGGCCTGATTCGCGCAGTCTCCTCTTAACAGTTGTTCTAGAGATGGGTCTGCTGCTAGAACTCTGTGTGGCATTCATCTGGTCTCTGATCTGAGCTGCTGTTAACTTGCGATTTCTGAGGCTGGTGACTCGGATGAACTTATCCTCAGAAGCAGAGGTGACTCTTGGTCTTCCTTTCCTGGGTCGGTCCTCATGTGTGCCAGTTTCGTTGTAGCGCTTGATGGTTTTTGCGACTCCACTTGGGGACACATTTAAAGTTTTTGCAATTTTCCGGACTGAGGTGTAGGTGTAAAAGGGACGTCCTCGTAAGGCTCAGCTGCCAACAAGCAAGGTTGGTTACTTTGTGAAAAACTGTGTGGGCAAACACTCAAAGACTTTAAGATCAATATTTCTCAGCGCACATGAATTATTGGATTTTACCAACTACAATCCATAATATCAGCAAAAGGTTCAGAGAATCGTGAGAAATCTCTGCACGTAAGGGGGCAGGGCTGAAAACCACCAGTGAATGCCTGTGACCTTTGACCCCTCCGACTACACTGCATTAAAAACTGACTTCACCTCAGAAAGCAAAGCTCAAAGCCAGCATCTGTGATGGTATTAGTGTTGTCACAATACCAAAATCTTTGTTTCGGTACCAATACCAATATGAATTTCGATACTTTTCGATACTCTTCAGTACTTTTCCTAAGGAAAAGTCCTTTTGGCTACAAACCTTTAGAACAATAAATAGTAGGGGTGTAACGGTACCAAAAAATCATGGTTCGGTAAGTACCTCAGTATGGACGTCATGGTTCGGTTGCTCAAATATTTCACTAAGTTGGTGTTGTCTCGTGTTGTCTCCCTTTGCGAGGCAGACTTTCTCTTGTGCCAGCTGCGAATGTTGATACAGGTGTTGTCATACACACCACTTGTGCAATCTGTGCTCCAATAGGAACAAGAAAGGCGTTTGTGTGCATAAATGAGTAAAATAAATTAACTAAATTAATGAATTGAATCAATTTCAAAGTACCGGTATTTTCCATATGCAGTATAGTACCGTTTGGAATACTCTAGTACCGCAGTACTATTTTAGTACCGGTATACCGGGCAACACTAGATGGTATGGAGGTGTGTTAGTGCCCATGGTAACTTGTTCATCTGTGAAGGATCTATCAATGCTGAAAGACACATACAGGTTTTGGAGCAACATATGCTGCCATCTAGGCAACGACTTTGTCAGGGACGTCCCTGCTCATTCCAGCAAGACTATGCCACGTCACATTCTGCATGTGCCACAACAGCGTGGCTTGGTAGTAAAAGAGTGCAGGTACTAGACTGACCCGCCTGCAGTCCAGACCTGTCTACCACTCAAAGAATCCCCAGACTGTTGAGCTACTGAAGTCGTATATCAGGCAAGAATGAGAGACTGTCCTCAGTTCCCAAAGGGTTGCTGAGTGTTGTTAAAAGAAAAGGTGATGTCACACAGCGGTAAACATGCACCTAAACCAACTTTTTTTGAAGGCGTCGCAGTTATCAAATCCAGAATCAGTATATATTTATGAAGGTTTGTGAGTTTGAAAATCAAATATCTTGTCTTCGATTGAATAAAGGTTAGAAAGGATTTGAAAACCACAACATTTTTGGAACAGAGACAGGCACTGTAACTGTGAGTGTGGAGTTGATTTCTATCTTCAAAGCAGAGAATTAAAACTGTCTCATTTAGGCTTCAGAAAAATAATGACCTTACAAATAAATTAACTACGATTAACTCACGTTACACACGCTAAGTCATATGAAAAACAAAAATCCAATGTGATAAACTCAGTGACGACTCACCTCGAAGGTGAGAAGGGGCACGACGATGGTCATCCAGCTGATTGCCATGGTGATGTGGGTCCGCCGTTGCTCGGCAATGATGTCGATGGAGCGGAGGAAGAGGACAGACCAGATGATGTAGTAGAGGACAACAAGACACAGGAAGGACATCAGGATCCACAGCGGGACACACACCACCTGCAGCACACACAAACACACACACACAGACACAGACACACACATATTAAAGAAGATGAAGGTATTGCAAATATATTTAATGTTCAGACTGATTAACTTTATTGAACCTATTACTAATCTGAATCTCCACCGCTGTATGTGGCATCTCAAACTGTGACAGTATAACAAACACATAGGACAGACCTACATGTGGAATTGAAGTGTGTAAAAATAACAGTGAATGGTTTGTGTATCTCACCAGCCACGGCCAGTTGATGATCCTGTCCAGCCTCAGAGCGATGAAGATGAACTGGAGAATATTTACTGAGCACAACACCTCCAGCTGAGGAGAGGAAGACACAAGACAAAATTAATTCTAACCTTAGCTTTAAAACAAATAAATAAACTAATTTGCCCGAGGAACAGAAGGGATTCCAGTGTTCACTGTGACTAGAGCATCATACACCGACATGTCAAAATGGCGGCCTCTTGTTGCAACTGAAATTCCTTGAACCCACTCCAAGCACACAAACAGACAAACTCCTCTGGTCTCAGCGTATTCTCGTACACATCGGCCTCCTTACCTCCAAGGAGCGGTCGTGTCTGAACCCCCAGACGCAGGCCGCTACAGAGACGGGTGACACGAAGAAGAGAGGCATGAAGACGAGAAGCCAGAAGTAGTGTCCTCTCTCCACGCGGTCGCACACCAACACCTCGAACATCAGCAGCAGCACGTGGAGCCCCACTGCGATCAGCATGGCTTTGAACTCCACACACGTCTCTCCTTCGGCCCTGAGAGAGGACACACGGAAGTCTAAACATCAGATAGTTGATTCCCATGGTTACGTCTCATGATGCACATGTTGATTATTGAGACGGCAAACCAAAGAGACAAAGACATCAAGCAGATAGTGACATAAATCCAAGAGATTAGCATATAATCAATATCCATGATATGAGACCTAAACTAATGTTACTAAACTAATTGTTTCTCGTACAGTTGAGGGAGACATTATTTTATCTTGTCTGAATGCTTACAAAAGAAATTAACAACAATTAAGTGGCACTTCTTTTTAGGATACACTGGTGCTTCTTGCTTTTTGTGCACGAGCACTGTACAGACCTCAAGTAGAAAAAACTTCAGCTTGGACAGGTAAAAGCACCTGATGTAATTTGTGTTTTTCCCCACTGTCCAATCACATGAACTGTGTGAGTCTAACATCAGCTCACTTTCAAGATCATCATAGACAAGCTGCAAGACATATTGCAACAAACTGTCGTCTCAGCTACTTTCTAACACTCTACAAACCATAATTAGGCCACACGATCGACAGCAGATTGTCTAACTGTCTCTGAGTCGTCCTAAAATAAGCCTTGAACCAACCATCACCCAGGCAAAGCTCCTGGACATGCTGGTGATGCTGCCTGTGATTCTTCCGCTTTCTGAGGGTCTCATGTACCCACACTGCTCTCCGCTTCCCTGTGACCCAAGTACTATTTAGGAACAACCCATCTAATCTATTCCATTCACTACAGTTTTGGAGCCAATTTGGCAGTATTTTACTATGGAAAGTTCCACCAGTATAAAAGCAATGTGTACAATATGCAAGGCTTCATGTTCAAGGTGCGGCACGAGTGTTGCCAATTTCTTACAAAGCATTTGAAGACGTATCACAGATGTTTTTGTTCATGCTTTGCTGAACAATACTGCAATGATAACAATCACTGCACTTCACATCCACACAGGATAAGAAGTATACAGCTTTTAAATTCTACTGTGCCACAAAGGTATCGGATCAGTTCACGGTATCTGCCGTAGAGATAGGTGATATGGCCCTAGAATAATATCACAATATTTCAGGGTATTTTTGCAATGCAATATTCTTGACGATATGACAAATTAGTAAAAAAAATAAAAAAATAAAATACATATATATATATATATATATATATATTATAATGAATGTAAGAAAATATAACTGCAACAAAATAAGTGATATAGTTTTACTGTGTGCCTTCAAATATTCAGTAAAAAATAAACAAAATGATCTCTCATTTCAACAACAGTAACTCAGAGTGAGAGTCAGATTCTGTTACAATATCAATAGTTCAACAAAATAAAATCTACCACAAATTACACATTTAAACAGCTCCCAAATACAAAAAATGTCCCCTGGGATCTATATAGGCCTATCACGATAACAAATTTTGCTGGGCGATTAATTGCATCAGAAAATTTTGCGATAAGCGATAATATTGTGCAATATTGTGCTTTTAAGACCATTTTTATTATTGTTGTAATTTTGCTGTTTTTAGACCATTTTTAAACTTATATAATGATAATAAAAGCATAATGATGCAAGTACACCTTTTAAAGAAAAGTAAACATTTATTTAAAGGGATAGTGCACCCAAAAATGAAAATTCAGCCATTATCTACTCACCCTCATGCTGAGGGAGGCTCTGGTGAAGTTTTAGAGTCCTCACATCCCTTGCGGAGATCGGCAGGGGGAGCGGCTAGCACACCTAATGGCAGACGGCGCCCCAGACTAACGTCCAAGAACACAAAATTGAAACCACAAAATATCTCCATACTGCTCATCTGTAGTGATCCAAGTGTGCTGCAGCCCCGACATAAAAAGTTGTTTGGAAAAACGTCATATGAACTCTGTTTTTAGCCTCACTGTAGCCTGCGGTGCACGTGTCACGTGATGTAAACACGGGTGAGCAAAGCTCATGCTTTCGCTGGTCTCGCGCAGGTGCGCACACGTGAGCGCAGAGCACAGAAAAGCAGTCAGAGCTACAGGCTACAGTGAGGCTAAAAACAGAGTTCATATGACGTTTGTCCAAACAACTTTTTATGTCGGGGCTGCAGCACACTTGGATCACTACGGATGAGCAGTATGGAGATACTTTGTGGATTCAATTTTGTGTTCTTGGACGTTAGTCTGGGGCGCCGTCTGCCATTAGGTGTGCTAGCCGCTCCCCCCGCCGATCTCCGCAAGGGATGTGAGGACTCTAAAACTTCACCAGAGCCTCCATCGGCATATGGGTGAGTAGATAATGGCTGAATTTTCATTTTTG